TTAACTCTATTTTTTTCCTTCACAGATGCTGCCAGACCTGCTGAGCTTTTCCAGCAACTTTGTTTTGTTCCTGATTTATAGCATCCACAGTTCTTTCGGTTTTTATTCAGTCCACACCGGCCCTCTTGGCATCCCACTCAGACCCATCTCCCTTACAACCCACCTAATCTACACATCCCTGAACACCTTGGGCAATTTAGCATGGCCAATCCACCTAGCCTGCACATCTTTGGACTGTGGGAAGAAACCAGAGCACCCGGAGGAAACCCACACAGACACAGGGACAACATGCAAACTCCTCACAGTTGCCCAAGGGTGGAATTGAACCCAGATCCCTGGTGCTGTGAGGCAGCAAGGGGGCATAGATTTCAGGCAATGTACAAATGAAGCAAGGGTGTTATAAGAAAAACATTTTCATACAGTGAGTAGATAAGCTATGGAATGCGCTGCCTGGAAATGTGGAGGAGGCAGGTTCAACTGATGCTTTTGATTGTTACTTAGATAGCAGATTGTGCTGGGATACAGGAAAAAGACAGCAGGTTGACACTAGATAATAGTCAGTGAAGACATGATGGGCCAAATGACCTCATTCTGCAATTTTGTGATGAATTATCTTGTCACCTGATTAAAAGGCTGTGTGTTATTCCAGGCTTTGAGGTTAATGTTCTTCCTATAGTTGCTAGAAAACAACTGATAATTTTACATACACAAATCGTATATGTCACTGGTATTTTATGAAGTACAATCAGCCATAGTGCTGTTTAAAACTAACGGTGGCAGCAATGAGTTAGTGTTCTGTCATGACATTGTCCATCCTCCTCTCACAACAAAAATAAATTTTCCAGTGCTGTAATGTACTATATTTTTATAAATTTAGCAAATGTTTAAAAACGCATGTGAAAAATGAGAAATGTGTGGCCTCCAAACCCGAACTTTATGCTTTTCATGAGAGAACATTGCAAATCCTTAATTTGTGCATTAACGCACTACTTACCCCAGATGTGCACAAGATTTCCCAACATGGTGTAGTGTAATTTATTTGCACTGTGCTGCAGCATTGAAAA